CAGCCAGGAGTTGGGACGCCGCGACGATAGCGACGCCCGCTTTCGCTCGTACTTTTTACCGAGGCTTCTAGCACCAACCGCCAGGATCGCGACATCCGACAACATGACACACGCCGGCTTCCCTGGCGTCATTTGTTGCCACTTTGGGACCAGTTTTGATGTGTAGGCCAGACTTTGTAGTAAAATCTGACTCGAGCATGTCCTTCTGTGACGATGACAGTGCTGGTAGAATAGGTGCCTACGTTTTCACCTGAGTGGCGGTGGGAGGGAACTTCCGACGGTACGCGCCGCAAGTATCTGTACACTGCGTGACATTGTTAGTAGAAATGCTAAGCGTTTTTTTTTATTTTTTAGGGGTATTGGCGGAGTAGATATTATTTTGTTTTTATCTCGGACTTCGATGAACACCTTCGGGGTGCCTACCATCGGAGACCTCTGGAGAATCGTGGCTGAGGATGATGCCGGTTGCTGGTTGGAAGTTGAAAAAGACTTCTTGCTTTTTTTTTTTTTGCGTTAAAGACTTAAGGCTAGCGGTTGTACCGCACTGACTCTATTTCTCATCCACAGCTGAGACACTAGACGCCCATTGGGGCTGACTAACTTCCAAATGTATAAACATACATTTAACAAAATTATTAAAACCGACGGCGAAGTACGGCGAAGAGCTATCGTACTCGGAGACTCATGTTGTAATGAATACAACTAAACTTTTCTGCTACGTAAAGCAATTACGTAAGACAATACGAGCATGCAAAAGTGTAGCTGACTGCCGCACACGACTTACGCAGTTAAACGGTTAAAAATAAATGCCTCGTTGTCGAGTGTCCACCCGCTCATGGTGTGGACTGAGGCTACCTTGTTGGAGGAGAACAGGGGCTCTCGTTCAAGGCAGAAGCAAGGCGGCGCACCGCGGAAAAAAGGCCCGCTCACGAGTTCGTTCAAACTCTACGATTTTCCGTCCAGTTAGAGGTTACGACAGTGTGCCGAAAGCTGTCCCGTCAAGCGACCTGGCCGGACTCCGACAGTGTCCCTCCCCTTCCCCTTTTTATGCGCCTTGAGCTGACACTAGAAACTCCGCCTTCGGCGCAAGCTTCCTGCCCTTGCTAACACAAGTAGTGTGAACGCGCTGACGCGCAATCAAAGCACTGTGGAAGCCAGCGAGCCCGCACTGAAGGCGGAGCTTCTAGTCTCTGCTTAATGGTGAACAAAGTATGGGTACGACATCACGTTGTTGGTAAACATGTGAGTAGTGACCCAACACGAGCGTTTTGTCAACCGTGAACCGGATTCCAAAAACGAATGGCCGTCGAGCATGCAGCGTTATGTCCGGCGCCGCGTTAAAAAAAAAAAAAATCAAATAAACTGACTCTGAGGATCCCGACGAAATCCGCCAAAATGTGTATCGTCGGGAAACTTCCCTTCGCACCAGAGTATAGACAAGAGAATTAGGTACTTTAAAAAGGAAAAAGGAATAAACCAAGGACATGTCAAAGACGCTCATACTTCTGGCAAAGGCAAGCGTAGCGGAAGGGCACGCAAGGATTCCAAGAATGCGGAGGCCACCTCGCGGGGTTCACCCGAACCTGCGTTCACGTCTGCACGTCAACGTCGGTCGCGCTCGGGAACCCCGCAGCTAGTCCGCAAAACCACTGGAGCGCGATCCGAGGTTTCCGCATGTGTGCGTGGCGCTCGAAACTCGACCACGGCACTTGGTCTAGTTTACGAAACGGCCTGCCCGTTGACAAGTGCACTTCGGAGCCCTGCAGGCCGCGTGGATTCACGTGTCTGGGAACTCCCGCCCTCGGGTCAGGGGGGAGATTTGTGGACACGACCCGCCGTGAGAAAACTCCGCTGGTATTGGAACACCAAGGATCGGTGCACGTAGAGCTGCGTAAACGAATCCGTTAAAGCACACATGCAAAGGAAAAAAACATTTTTTTTTTAAACAGCTTAGATGGAAAAAGGATGTCATAAATCGATTTTCCAACGAAGAAAAAAAAATTTAGAGTTATATTTACGGTGCTATACGAATTTGTAGTTGGCGCCCGCAGGCGCCGCGGAAAAGTGGCCCTTATTTATCACGTGACTGGCCTTTATTTGTCACGTGGTGATTGCGCTGTTTCGGAAGCTTCCTTTGGCCTCCACGAGTAACTTATTCATCTTTCTTTGAAGTATAGCAAGAAACTAAGATTAATAAGTAACTTTTAGGCCCGCTTCAGGCGGGGCAACTTTTCCAGCAATTTTGAGGTTGCTGGCGGGTTGTTCCCTAGCTTTCCCTAGATCGATGCGAATTGCTGAGATCGGGTCCGGCTCGAACAAGCGAGCAACTCGGAACAATTCGAAGACGGCTGAAGCGGCTGCAGCCAATCAGAGACGCGATATTTTCACGTGACACCCCTGTGGTGGTGATGATGACAGCTAAAGACGTAGTTCTGGTTTGGAGTGGATCGTTTTCGGAAATAAACAGTTTCAGAAAAATGAGTTAGTATTCTCAACGACGTTCAAAGATATAAGAACGCGTTTTTAGCGCGTAGCTGGGCGTCTAAATAGTGAAAGAAGAATCAAATTTAATTATGATGATGGCAAGTCGGAGCAATTCGGTTGCTGCCTGTGAACGCGAGCGGCCGGTGTTGCTAGTGTTGCGACGTCAAGTTGCTGGGTGAAATTGCTCCGTCAGAAGCGGGCCTTAGAGCCCAAAGGAAACTCCTGAAAAAGCGCAAACAGACGTCATAGACCTGTGCGCCGGTCAGATGACGGCGGCGGCGCCCCGAAGCAGACGAACTTGTGCGGCGGCGGCGACGGTGGCGTGGAGAAACGCGTTGGAGTGGTGTCGTACAACGCTCTCCGAGCGGCGGCGGCGTGACTTTGCGGCGGCGGCGACGCAGCGCGGCGGCGCACAGGCCTAACACGTGACCAGCGGCGGCTCCCGCGGGCGCCAACTACAAATTCGTATAGCGCCGTAAATACAGCTCTAATTTGTTTCTTTCTTCGTTGTAAATTCGATTTATAATATTCTTTCTTCATGTAGCCTGTTTAAAAACAAAGTTTTCTCCTTTGCACGTGTCCTTTAAAACAAAATGCCGTCTTGGACGCTGGCGCGAGTGGCGGTCACCTGGGGCGGACGCTAATTTTTCCCGCTTAGCAGGCCGCTCTAGTAGTTGTGATGCCAGCCTTTTAACTGTAAAAGAACTACAAAAAAAAAAAAAAATCGGCGATTGCTTGTTTGCGTTAACGCGCCGCATTCACATTGGCGACTCAACGGCATCCGCAGTGCGGTTGCGAACGCGGTTGCTTGACGATGCAATACTAATTCACGCACAGTTGATGATGAACACGAGCAGATCCAATTCGCGCTTGCGATTCGAACGCCGGTGTGAAGTGTCGCGGTTAGCACAGATGTGGCACTGAAACGAGGACGCATACTAAGAAGCGCGAGCTGATGCGCGTTTTCTCGAAGATGAGGAAATGCAAAAGAAAAACAAACGAAACAATTTCTTTTTTTTTTTTTTTATTTGGGATGTTTTATGGTGCCGTGCCGTGTAGGGCGCTTGGACTCACGGAAGGGTAGCGGAAAGGTTCTTCTGCGATCGCGGAAGTCAGAAAGAGCCAGCGGGAGGCAGGGGCTGTACGAGGAACGTGGATGTTGGAACGATGCCGCTTTCGGCTTCCATCTGCATTCGCTTAGAGCAGGCCGGATGCCTGCTTTTCTTGGTGCGACACGTTAGCAGATCTCCGAAAACAACCCCCAGACAATTTTCTTTTTGCTTGCTCAATGTGTAGAAAAAGTCTGATTCTTTATTCTGTAATCAGGGTCGAAAATTACGCTATAAAAAGTATTGTTGCCTGTGACAAAACGTGTGAGAGATGATGCGTTTTTGAGGCGCTTCTCTAGTCCGTGGACTTTGTTGGTGACGTTGAGATCGATTCGATTCGAATTACTTTACGACCCTACTGACTGGTTCCCAGGAACTGGTATCGTCCAACTTCTACACCCAGACTGACATCCCACTGTGAGGAACACTCACGTGCACCGGTCAGTGCACCGTTTCTCTTCCCCGTTCACCTCTCCAGTCTCGAAACTACGTCTATGATCTGAAGTTCCGAACTCCGTTTTGCTCCTGTCGTCAGCCTTCGGGGCTTCCACAAGGCTTGCTTTTGTTTGTACACCGTAAGATGTGTGCAGTGTAGGCTCGGTGTGTGCTCTTTCATTAGCATTCTCATTTCCCGTGCGAACTGGCACCGAAGAGTTCGACATTTCCTGCTGTGAACAAACGCTTTTATAAAAAAAAGAGAAGGAATTAGGCTGTGCGTGAGGCGGGAATAGCAGTAGACTGGAGACAGTCTGCCGCTGGTGTGACCCACGAAATATTCGCTTGAACTTGGCCGCTGGCGAGGAGGACAAAAATAACTGCTCCTGTCAGGAACCACAAAAAATTTATATATATATATATATATACCGTGACGGCGTTTTGCTCTCAGTTTTGCTGTATTATACATTTTACGGTGTATATTAGCATGTAAGTACTTTTATTGTTGAGACCCTGTTGTGGAATTCGGAAACCCGGACCCAGTCACACCAGATGTTGATTCTTGATTGTACAATAGGATGAGCCAAGGAACACCATTTGAATGCCTTACTCAGAAATAGAAATTTTCAGCTGTGGTTTCTCTGCTTCGTTGAATATTGGAGGTTCAATGAATTGACACCAAACTGCGGGGATGGCATGCACTCCGCGACGCTGTTAGCAGGAACAAGCCATCGCCGGCTTTCTGTGTCTTGCGGTCACTATTAAAGAACAGCCACTAAAAGCTACTATTCTGGTGGAAAGTGCTCGGTTGCGGTACGAACACCTAAGTTGTAAATTCTGGTGCCCGCCAGTGCCGTTTCCAAGTAAACTGCGGAAAAGCGCCGAGGTCGTGTTCGCGCTAACAGTGTCGTGCAGTGCACGCCGCAACCGGTGTTCGTAACATCCTCGGCGTGCCCTCGTTGATGGCTGCAGGCTTCCGGCACTGGCACGCCGACGTGCGGATGGAGGACACCCCGCTGGAGGCCGGACTCGGGTTCACCTGCAAGCTCAAGTCGGACGTGGACTTCCTGGGAAGGCGGGCCCTGGAGGCGCAGAAGGCCGGGGGCCTCACCAAGCGCATCGCCTGCTTCACCCTGGACCAGTGAGTCCGCCGCGGGCGCCGTGCGGACAGCGCCGGATCGAGAAAGATCTGTTAGCGGCGCACATTCGGATAGAGTAAAAGACGGTTCACATTAGTTCAGATTTAAGCCACTAATACTCTTACCACACTATACTCTCGTACCTCTATTTCAGAAGAAGGGAAGAGTGCGCGTGCACAGCATTGGTGGGGGCTCAAGATGAGCAGGCGCACGTGCGCCCATAGCTTTGACTGTAGAGCCACGTAACTTTGTGGAAGAGTGTAGTGGGGTAACTGTGGCTTAGCGTAACTGCAGTTAAGTGTGCCCGTGTAATGAGGGTAGAAATGAGGTACGCTTCGGAGTACGGCACTTCCGCCATTTTGGTGCCTAAAAGAAATCATCGTTGTTGAGTGACCCGAAGCTTTACCTGAATTGCGGGCGGCGATGTCGCCTGAGCTTTCTGACACGGTGTACCTAATGCTCAGCCGGCGGCACGTCTGAATCGTTGCGATCGCCAATAGACCCCTTTCATAAGTCCGTGGAGCAACATTGCCGGTCGCCATTTTTCGGAGGAGAGAAGCAGGGAGAGAAAATTGGCTTAAAAGGGCGGGAAGAATCATATATTTGTCTGTTTTATTGCTCGGCTAGGTGGCACAAGCGACCGCCCGTTACAAGGGGTGTAGCCATTAACATCCATCAATCCATCCATGGACACGAAGTGTGTGTGATTGGATCCGAGTCCTCGCCGAGCGCTGACGCTGTACACCGGTTTTCGATACGTTTAAACCGAGTTCACGCCGAATGGCGACGCACCCCTCGTGTCCATTGTACGTTCGGGAACCGGGCCCAAATAATGGCGGAGTTAGTCAAGTAATTGACGCAGCAGTTACTAGATGGCGCCATCTTCAGAAAAGGGTCTATTGCGCCCGCTTGGCTCTACGCTCCAAATTGGCGGCGCCCACGAGGTCATCGGCGAATCGAGTCAGATACTTTAAAGGCCGGCGACCGATTTCGCGCTTTCCACATTCCCCTCCCTCCCTATTCTCTTTCTACTATCCTGTCTACCGTTGCCGGTTGCCATGGGGGAAGATCCCCCATGGTGAGGAGGATCTTCTGCCTTGCAGAATCTCGAGTCTGGTCGTCGGCCTTTAAGCGTGTTTAACGGACTCTTGTCCACTGATCTCTCGACGCCTGGTGATCGGTCTTGCTCGTAGCTAAGCGAAACGAAATTTAGAGATTGCGAGGCATTGCTGGATGAAATTCTCGCGAATTTCAGGCACGTGGCTCTGCACGGCCTGGAAGTCATCTGGCGAGGCGACGAGGTGGTGGGCTTCACCCGGCGTGGCGACTTTGGTTTCGCCGTGGGCAAGAGCATAGCGTACGGCTACGTGAGGCGTCCCGACGGCGCCGCCGTGTCGCCGGACTACCTGGCGTCCGGAGACTACTGGCTCGAATCCCTGGGCGAGAAGTACAAGGCCAGCTTCCACCCCAAGCCGCCCCTCGACCCGGACAACCGCAGGGTGAAGGGCGTCTACGACCAGCCGCTCCCCTGCGACAAGTGATGGCGGCAGCAGAATGCACCAAGTGCCAATGCATGAACTCGTATCTTTGACGTGACTTCACGGCAGTGGCGCTATTTTGACATTTCACGCTCAAATTGTGGGCACAGTGGCGCGCGCTTATTTTATATTGGGGAGTTTTCGTACACCGCGTTTCCCCGTCTGCTAAGCCCTCCGCAACGAAGAAGCCGCTGCTGCGCCTGCGCGCCGATAGCCTTGACTGTAGAGTTCCGGGTATCGTAGCGCGTTGCGGAGAGCGTTGCCGGACTGCAAAAACGATCTACGAAAACTTCCTATTAAGTTTAAGCGTAGCAGACGTTAGGAGCGCTTTTTCCGCGCTTTGAAGGGGCCTGCCTACCACGCGCGCTCGTGCGGAGCAAGAGTATGTTCAGGCATGGTTCAAGGCAGTAGACTCGGGCTTTTGGTAAAACCGAGGTTACCTTCTGTACATGTGCAGTGCAAGTTGTCACGTGACTACACGCTCGATTATCAACATTGAGTAGGTGAACAGTTATAGCTGCTGTCGCGAGCCTACCCAAGCTCGAACGATTCGAAGTTTCAACGCAAAGTTCGACGGGCGGCATCAGCCACGCCAGCTGATGCCGCCCGTCGATTAGGCATCGCGTTCCGGAGTGAGGAGCCGCCCGCGGATACAAAGGGCACAACGGGCCTGCTATAGCTACGCACTGGCGACACCTCCGATTAGTACACGATACCCACCGTTGCTTCTCTTGCAGCTGAAAAGACGGACAAGGGGAAGGGGCAATAAACTCTGTTCTTTCTTTGGACCTAATCGTGTCAGTTATCGTCGCCGGTGGCGTGCTGTGCGACGAAGAGGCGTTAAGAAGCGACGCCGGGTTGTGGTGCGAAAGTTCAACTTCAAAAATTGTTTTCTCGCTTTAAACAAAAATTACTTCGATTAAACTTTCAGAACCAAAAGACAATCGATTGTTCTTCCACCCCCCATATTTTGTATTTTTACTTGGACCACTTCAGGGTAAAATAAACGACTGTTTATGCGTCAAAACATATTTTTTTTTTACTGCGAGAGATTTAATTGAGCAGTTTAAACTTTTTTTTTATAGATTATATACCTGCAGGGCAGCCGGTAAAAGGTTATATTTAAACCCCGGAGCAATTAGATATTTTTAATAAAATACCGCAAATGCTATAATTTAAAAAAAATGTTTAAAAAATAATTAAATTATACAAAACTGCACAAGCCCAACCAAATTGCAAGTCAAAAGCCGCGTATATTTAAGAAAAAATATTGTTCGGTGTTTCATAAAAAACTGATTTTTCATAAATTATTTTCACGCTATTTTTAAAAAGTTGAAATTGCGCTCACGCCATCAAAAACTTTTGTTCGTCAGAATTATTTTAGGGCATGGCTACGGACAATGCGGCAAAAGGCCATGAATTTTTTTTAGAAATCGAAGGTGGTCGAGCGCAACGTCTGGGACGTTTGACATGGAATGACCCATTGGTATTTAGTTACTCTCTCCGTGCCCGCTGGCTTGCCCGAACCCCAAGAGGTGTGGAAACCGCAAAAAAGGTTGACGCTTAAATATGATTGCAGGGCCCCTTTAAGGGGTATTCACACGAGGGAGAAATCTCCGGGATTTCTCCATCGCAGGGTAACTGAAAAAAAAAAAAAAGTGTTTCTTTTTTTTAACAGCTTAATTGGGACAAGCATGTCTCAAAACAATTTATTCGCGAAAAATATTTTTTACAGCAATATTAATTGCGCGAGACTGATTTTAGTTTCCGGCTATTTCGTCCGCCTTAAATTGCGCGCCACAAAGTGGGTATTATACGTCACGGACTGGCTGCTATACGTCACGGAGTGACGTCCGATAGCAACTCTTCTCATTGGCTAAAGATTGATTGCCAGCTTAGATCTGGGTTGTAAACCTTCGTGATATTGTAATTTCCTTTTGAGCGGCATATTTTTATGTTTAAAGAATGACCCATGTGATTAGAGTTGTTATTTTTTACAAGAGGTTTACAAGACGGACACCTTCGTTTGAATTCATACCATAAGAAAACAAAAGCTTCGCCAGTCTTTCATGGCCGCCGAAGTCTCTGCTCCCGCTGTCTCGCCTACCTCGATAGTCGTTTCGCCGAAGTGATCAGTGTTTCGCGTTGACCCAGGTGCTTGAGTGAGACCTGAAGTGAAGCAGTGTGCGTTTAGCAGCTGTCACAGGCGTTAATCATAGGAAGCGACGCGGGGTTGTGGCTCTCATAGCGCGGTTTGTTACTGTCGTTTTCCTCTTTGCTTTCTTAACGTGTTTTTTTTTGTCTGCTTGTGCGTGCAAATGCTGTTTTCTTGTGGAGATGTCAAACAACTTTAGAGCAGCACCATTGCTCTAAAGTGCTGCCCAAATACGATATAGCTTCGCCAATACTGGAAACTCCTCCGAAAACACATAGGAGCGGCGGCGAACGTGACAGTGGCGCCTCTAGCGGACTCGGAGTCTACGGAAGCAGTCGACGCAATGGAAAAGTATAGGCTCCGCGACGTCCTCGAGCATTACAAGCCCCGTTTCGTCACCCTAACAGAAGAGACAATTTATTACTTTCAGTCCGCTTGAAAAGGGGTATCCACTAATCGCAACTGCAACGACAATCGAATAACAACGCGCGCATAAACAAAGATAGAGCAGTTTATTTAGCGGTCTCAAACGCCTCTCAGGGGATCACACGTGTTTGAAACGCGTCTGGGAAGCGGAAAAAAAGGCGTTTAGCTACTCGAACTACGTCGTAATCATTAAACATGCAAAAACGACATGTTAATATTACCAGAGCAAGCGCACGAGCTGCTGGAGCATAAAAACAAAACAAAAAGTAAGGATAAAAACGACCGTGAGAACACTTACCGAACTTTGCAGAAAAAATGGTGTCGCCATTCCCGACGAAAATAAAAAGAAACGGGAAAGAGAAGCGAACAAAGGCGAATAAAACAAAGAAGCTAGCAAAAAACTATTTCAACGACGACGATCGTTGCGGCGCTTATAGAAAAAAAGAAGGAAAAATGGAAAGCAGCAAATGAATAGCTGGTGGTCACCAACGGTGTTGAATTCACGACAAACAAAGCGGAAGCAACAGACGAAACTAATGAAAAAAGAAGAATGCGTCCCTTTTTTTTTCAGCTGCTTGTTATACATTTCTTTATTTGCTTTCGCGGCGTAGGTACGAACTAAAAACAAAACAGGGGAAATAAATAACGTAGTGCAGCTCACACTGCCCGCTAAAAAAGAGTCGCAGAAATGTTTTGGTCGCAGGCGGCAATCTTCTATATGTGCTAGCAGTGAGTAACCTTTTTTTGCTTTCGAATTTCTTTTTCCAGTGACTTTGGCGGGTTGTTCGTTCGCTCGCTTGACGAAGCAGTTTAAAAGTGCATTCAAGTACTTGTTGACGTAGGTGTCCGTAGGTTGACGTAAGAAGCAGAAGAAAGATTTTCCACCACATCGCACAAACTTGTTCTTGCAATGGTAGGCAGCACATGGCATGCCTGCCATCTCAAAGTATGCTCTGGTGTATGCTCGAATGCGGCCGGTTGATCAACAAACGATGACCCGTAGCAGACGTGCCAGCCGGAGTACACAAATAAAATTCGAATAAAAATGTATAACGAGCTTACACTTCCTAATATATTTAATAAAAATCAAAAAGCACGTATGACGATTTTGGATTAGAAACTCAATCGAAGGCGAAAATAGGAGGTTATCGCAGACGACAGTGGAAGAAAACAACAACAACAACAGCAAAGTTGCAGACGGGCCGTCTGCAACTTTGCTGTTGTTGTTGAAGTTGCAGACGGGCCGTCTGCAACTTTGCTGTTGTTGTTGTTGTTTTCTTCCACTGTCGTCTGCGATAACCTCCTCAAAATGTCCGGGCCTAGCACAGACGAACCAGGGGTAGTAGCGCCGAAGCGAAGGAAAGGGAGTAAAAACTAAACCAAACAAAGCAAGGATACACGATGGTTTACACGTCGGGGAAAAAAAAAAGCAAAAAGAAAACAAAAAATATACACAGCAACATATAAGCAGGAGGAAGAAATAACGCGGCAGAGTGGCGTCGCCTCAAAAATATAAAAGAAAGAAGACTCAAAAATGGAAAGAGTGGAGACGGTTCAACGGGTGTCGGCCGTTGTCGTAGAAGTAAAGAAGCAGCGAAGCAGAAGATGTTGGTCGTCCCCGCGCTAACAATCGGAATTTGTGCACTGAAAATAACGTGACTGGAATCACCTTTTTCGCGGGGCTACGACGCTCTCCCCTTCTTTCTTTGCAAGCGCGAGAAGTCTGCTTTTTTCGTAACTCCGCTTTTGTTAATCTATAATCGCGTCAGATTTGCATATGCACAACGACTTCTTTTGGAGCATACTGACATCGCCGTAACGTACGTGGTTCAAAATTGACTTCTGCTTCTTCATCCGGAGACGATCTTAACGGGATTAGCCAGCTCGCCTGTTCAACTAAACGGTTATGAGCAAGACATTCATGAAAAATGGGAATTGCAACGACAAAACGAATTGACCGATAAGAACAATAAAGTTGAAACGAAGCTATGTTCTGAAATGTTTGTACATTTCCCTTTTTCACGAAACAGCGTGAAGGCATACATTCGTGTTTTGCTTGGCTTACATAAGTTGTGACAGAATGTTTTCTTCGGGAGAACTCCGAAATTGCACCCAGAAAGCTGTAACATCTTTCCCACGCATAAAGAATGTCCTTCACTCATGAGCTGGCACCCATTTTTTAACTTTCAAAGCAGCGAATGTCCGTGACAATTTTTTTTCGTTGGTCACCTAGGACGGAGATAGGCAAAACCAATGCATTTTGGAGAATTTGCCTGCTAGCGGAGACTCCGAGCTCGCCAGGGGCGCTGCAGTCACTTTTCGCCCGTTTTCCGCGGGAGTTGCCAGTATTGGCTTTTACGGTATTTGTGCTGCCAGATGGCTGATCGTGACAGCGAGTCTTCCAGCAGCCATGTCGCCCGGAAAGGTGACAAGCTGGATGCTATTTGGCTGGAGACAATCGAGCGTTCGCGTTGCGACAAACGTGTCCAGGTATGTTCTCGTCATTTCGCTCCGGAGGTCTTCGAGATTGCGCCGGGTGCACCGAACGTCCGCGACTGAGACACAGCTGTTACTTAAAAAGCCTGGCACAGCCAGGTTATTACGTAACGGCTGTCCGCAGAAGCCTTCGGACGTCCGAATTCTGCGTTAGCCGACAGATCTTTCTCTCGGCTTTCGAACCATCTTAGGTAAAGTTGTTTGAATTGAATGTGTACTGTTATCGTAAATCTTGGCTTGTGATTGCGGCTTTGTAGATCATCTTATTCGTTTTGCTGGAGAGACGCAAACGACTGGCATAATAAAATCGGTTGCATATTGCGCATACCTCGCAAAAGCACTTCCCCAGTCACCTGGCGAAAAGCGCGAAACACGGAATCCATTGTTCAATTAAAACGACGTAATTTTGTTGGAAACGCCGGCAGCTTTTTACTTACGGTATGCGTCGGGAATTTTTCACATTATAAAACGGAACGAAGTAAGATTTACTTTTAAAAACGCTCGTTGCGTCCTCCCGGATCCGTTTGACTGGATCAGTTGACGGCGACGGGACTGAACCCGTTAAGCCTCAACCCCACAACAACCAATTTGCGCTCCGTGTTAGTGTGGGTGTCTACTTCCAGACACTTCACCACACACACCACGAGCGTTTCAGTTTTTTGTCGCATCGCCGTGTTGCACCAAACAGAACGAGATCGCCGAAGTCAACGC